ACATTAAATTTACAACAATTTCCGTGCTTATGTCAAGTGCAAACGCTGATCGGTCTGCACAGCAAAATCCCATAACAGTTGCTTTCCGTGCACAGAAAGTTAAAATGATGAAATTTTGCCGTGCAGTATCGGGAATTAGTATATTTCATAACAAGAGTGGCAAGTCTGCCAAAAATTTCATATTTGACATCATGTTTGCAGTGCGAAAATTATCGAGTACTTTAAATGGTCGAGAATATGTATAGACCCATTTTCTATTCCAAAAATACTGCAGGGTGAGGCAATGAAAGCGGCCCAATTTATAAATTGTACTAACTCCATTATATTATAAATTAAACATATTCACCCAATAGATATAAATATCACATCAAAACACAGCTTATTTTTGGCCAATTAAGCTTAACCAAGTCATTTTTTCATTCCTTGAAAACAAAATCCTGCAAGTGACGTCCTTGTCCCACTTGACATTCCTTTTTAGTCACTTGAAAACTCCATCAAATACTCCTCCAGCATTTCTTCAGGAATCACTTTAGTTTTGGACAATTCTTAGCTTCCGTTTAAGCAAATCTGTGGGGCGACTTATAAAAAACCTCGAACTTCAAGTAGCTTATCAGAATACCCCCCCCCCCCCCCTCTAAAAAAAGAGCCAACGTAAAGCTTTTAACAACAAAAGCTTCCTGGCAAATCTCTTCGGACTTCGAGTTACTGCGGCTCACACTTTTACAGCATTTGCTGGTGTACAAAGGGTTTTGCGGCACCAACCGATTATTTTTTCGTTTTAAGCTGTTATACTAAATTATTTTACCCAGTTCACCGTTGTTTTCCAATTTGGAACAGCACCATATTGACCAAGGATGGAATGTGGTCCAAACAATCTCTGGGGTTTTGTACAAGAATTACTATTTTAAAAATGGGTTTCCACATCAAAATCTCAGTCTCAATAGCCTCAGGCATAATGTTTACTAAAATGACATAGTTTAATTTACATTATAAGCAGAGCTGTTAATTAATTGTGGCTTTACTTATAGTGTGACAACGAAAGAAAATTGGGGTGCTCTCACTGCTTCACCCTGTATTTCTTTACTACAAAACTCATAGAATCTTTAGGTCATACCGTCAATTTAAAGTTAATGTTTATTTTTAGTTGTTGAAAATTTAAACAGTTTATAAAACAATTACAACTATTATTGTTTGTTTACATCGGCAAAATACAAAAATAAAAATAGTAAACATACTCTCACATAGTAAAAAATCTTTTTCACCACAATATGATGTTATTAGCTGTTTTACATACGTTAATTAGAGGCTGAAAGTTACGTTTTGCTGACCGTACCAGCTGTCATCGTCATTTGGGGACCGAACAGGTTTTTACATCCCTAGGACCGCAAAATCAGCTGCCCGCTTGCATATTAAATACACAAACAGTATCCATAGCATTGCAATATAATTGTTTTATTTTCACCGTTGCCTAGCAACGGTTTATTATTATTCTTGCTGATTCCTTAAATTACTTCTTCACATAACCTTAAAGTTGCGTTTGTGAATAGTAGTAGTGTGGTGAAAAATAGTGTTCGTACCACGGACCAAAAATGGTTTTGCAGCTCTCGATCGTTCTCGACTTGGTCTCGAACTTAAAAACCCCGAGCCGGCAAAACCTCTTTTTCGGCCCTAGGTACGAAATATACTATTGCCATAGTAAACAATGTAATAAAAGATCTGTGCAGGTGATAAATATGCAACGAAACATGTCATTTTACAGTAGTGTAGCGAAAAAACCTATTTTCTTAGCTCATTGTACGTTTAAAAAAAGTTTACTTTCGCCTGTAGAGTATTGAAAAGAACATTAATTGCCAATATACAAACTATAATATCTTAATTGAAAGTAGATAAATCTCTTACTACATGTACTCACACTTGTTTACAGACAATTTTAATAGATATATTCGAGAAACGAAAATATTGAACTACCTTTAAAAAGCCAAAAACTAATACTCTCATTTTGTAAAATAACTTTCCCAACTTTATAATTTAGATATGAAACAATATACAGAAGGCATCAAAAAGAACATGTAGGGCAAAGACAATTGATACCTAATAATTGTATGCTTTGAGTTCGTAAACCATATCTAAACTCTGATTTGCTTAATTATTTATTTGGCTTACCTCATGGCTGTGTACAGCCCACAGCCATGTAGTAGGTTTATTTAATCAAACTGTGTAATTGATTTAGGGGGTATTTTTAAAATTTTGTATCCACTCCCCGCTGAAAATCATGGGTATAGTGGATATTTATTTATGTTTAAACTAGTTGAATGAATTTAGGGACATAAGTCCCTAAAAAGCTCAAAATATAAAACAAATTATTGTAATATCTAAAAGAAAACTAAGAATTACATTTTTTTTATTTTCAAGATGGATATCTTTGTACACAATTTTATCTTTGTATAAAACGTATCTCTGTTGACTTTGGTTGTTGTTATATACATATATATCGTTTCAATTATAGATAACGTGATCCTTGGTTTTAAATATAGTTCAAGAGTTTTTATTCATATTTTGCGCATGTATTAAGATTGAGGTTAATAAGATAGCCATACATAATTTCAACGCTGTAGCTCAAACGGTGAGTTATGAATGTTTTTGTAAAAATCACATAGGACAATATTACAATTATTGTTTCTTTTAACAGCTGAATAACGTGACAAAGTTTGTTCATATGTGTACAAGACACCCTGAATAGCACTTATTCTCTGTTTGGAATGTTTCAAATATTTAAAAAAAAATCCTCCACGTTTTAATGCATAGGTTACATATTGCTTAGACTCCTGCATATAAAAACTAAAAAACAATAATTTAAATATATATGTTCTCAGTCTTAAATTTAATTTTTTAAATTGAAAACAAATATATATTACATTTTAAATTGAGTATATAACATTTTTTTAGTTTATGGTAAACGTACAACAATATTCAACCAATTAATGTTTTGTTTATTACACAAAGTCTTTAAAATTTTCAGAAGAAAACGTACAGTATTTCATTGAAGCTCATCACTGGACAGAGCAGCAGAAGAGCGTGAGTGAAGTGCGTTGCGGGTGCGAGGCGAGGGAATCTCTCCCAGCCGGCTGAGTTGGCCGGTCGACCGACTGAGTTGCACGACATGGCAACCGCGCTTAGTCGGTTTCGAGACTAGCGCCGCCTAGGATCTAGTCGGTTTTTCGGCCAAAAATTGTTAACACATATTAGTATTGCGTGGGGTATCTGTGTCTATACTCCTTTTATCTATGGTATTAGTAAGACTAGCAAGAGCCACATAATGTTATCAACTAAAGTATATAACGTTTTAAAACACAATATTGATGCTTATCTGCAGGAAAAATGTAAGTCTTGTTTTATAATTGGTTTATGAGAACCTTGAACATGAACATGGGGAGAATTTAACATGGGCCGTGGCTAAGCAACACCTTTTGAATACTTTTGCATCTTACTTTTGTGCCACGTTTGTAGGTGTAGAGTTGCCTGCGACAAAAACACATAAACCTGTAGATAAACTAAATTCAAAAACAGATTTGCTGACAAAAACAGTTAAACTCTAGGAGTTTGGACTACAAAAGGGACTTCTCAAGAGATAGTGGTAGTTATCATCGAGACTATCGTAGAAGGGACCGCAGCTAACAGTAAACTCTCGATTAGCCGCGGTGCATGTAGGTAAAAAAAACAACATAGTTTAAATAAAGTTACTAAATACAAAACCTCAATAAAAATCATAAATCACAAATACAGTAATAATGTACAGTACAAAATGTGTACAGTAATTCAGTATTTACTGAACAGTATATCGGTTTATCGGTATCCACTGTACGTGGTGTGTGCTTGAGCAGTTTTGGGCGCAACCAGCGGCACTGCAGATCTTTCTTTACTTATTAGCATGCAAGTGAATCACGTGACCCACTGTTGACTCCCCCTTCCCCGCAAAACGTGCATCACTACATCATTTAGTTTTCAGTTTAACCCAATCGTTCAAACTATTTGCTTCACTAGTGAAGCACAAAGTTGTGAGTCGTCCAAATCACAAATAAAGAAAAAGTGTTTTGCTACAATAAAGCAAAAGCAAATGACAGATTTTTTTGTCAAACAGTAAACATAACTTTTTTCAATAGCATGGATGACATTTATTTGTTTTTTGTTATCAGGTAGGCCTACGGCCTTTTATTGTATAATTAACTTATTTAAAGCACTTGTGTGTTAGTTATTAGTGCCTTCGACCTTTAAACACCATTACAGGGAATTTCGCAGCTTATCCGCAAAATTCAATTATTCGCGGTATTCACACCAGTCAATCCCGTGTTTACTGTAAATGACAAAGCTTGAAACTGTAAGTAAAAATCAAGATGGAAAAAATGTGTTCTTTTGCAGATTCTAATCATTATTAAAGGGGGGACAAGAATTAGTGTTAGGTAAAATCATATGGTTTAGTAGTTTACCCAACGATCGCGTAAAGATAGTCTTTACAACAGAAGTAAAAAATTTAAAGTACGAGCCTTGGTAAGTTCCTTTCAAATCTCTAAGAGTGTCGTAAATGCTAATTACGCGAGTTGCGTACTCTACTTTACCTTCTATCATTTTTTAATTACTTAAAATCACTACTCATAACTTCCAGTAGAAGTTATGTTTTCATTTATAACCTCTCATTGCCACTGATTGTGATGCAACAAATTATTGTCCCAACCACTCACTCATTGTTTAATCAATCGAGACCAATCGAGCCTATTGGTCTTAACAGCCGATAAGTTGCCGTTCGAAGAATTACAATTCCCTTCTTTATCTAAATTCTTGAACCTCATTAGTCAGAACTTGTACTGTAAAGTAGCAAAACAATTCTATAAAGTGAGTAAACAATAGGCCTACTTTAAAGTGAATCTTTTCAATTCTAAGTTCTAATTTAATTGAAAAGACAAATTTTAAAAACATTTGTAGGTAAAAAAATCATTTATACTTACAGTAAAGTTTTCTACACTGACGTTGAGGTCAGTCATTTCCTTGGTATACTGGTCCCACTGGTCGTATCTGAAAAAAATAAGCATGATAGAATTCTAATATTGATTAGTTCCTATTAACAGCCAGCTCATAAGGGAGCACTCACATATAATGTATGTAAAAACTACTTTCTTCGTAATACGCGAGTACGGGTAATCAACTAATGATATAATATTATTTTCTTTAAATGAAGAAAGCTTAATGAATGTATATTTAGGCCTACAACAATAAGGAATTAATCATGTTAAATAGAACCCTTTCCTTCTTTACCCTTTTTGCTAATCTTTTAATAGCCTAGGTACCTCTAATATTTTTTTCTGTGTGCATGTAAGCAAAAACGTTGGCTGTTTTATTAAAACAAAGGTTGAATTTAGTAGTTTCCCTCATAAAAGTAAAACAGACATTTTAATCAAACAAAATAAAAACCCATAAGTTACCTTAAAAAAAATAATTAAAAATATGAGGGAATAAAACCAATACCGGTACCTAGTTTCTTTCACAAACCAAATGGCCTTCATGTATGAACTAAACTGTTATTTACCAACCTGATAACTGTGATGTAGAGGTTAACAAGTTTGTCAGCAAATCTGCTGAATTGGTTATCTATACAGACACTGTAGTAACCGCCAGTGGACTGGTGATCTTGGTAATCAGAATGTGCCCGCCACTGATAGGGATGAACTATCTGTCCGTTAGGATGTCTCACAGCAAACCCAGCCATTCCATCGCCTCCCCTCAAAACCTAAATTGGACAGGTTGCAATGTTTTACCTTTCTACAATTGAAGATAGTGATGTGGGCCGGGTAAATACCCAGTGGGTAGGTAAATATAAATTGGGTATTTACCCCAGGCCCGGCCCGGGTAAATACCCAAAAACTGGGTAGGCCTATTTATAATTTTTATTAAAGTTAGAGAAGATTGAGATGTTTTTTTGCAATTTTGTAAGGATAGTAAAATGATGATAAAATGTGTTAAACAAAATTTCATATGGTCACTACTCACTACTAGCATTTTACTTCTAGGTATAATCGCCATAATTACCCAGGTCTGATCATAAAGCATAATCGGCATAAATACCCTGGTCGCATGGTTGCACTGGTCCTGACTACTTATGATTTTTTAATTTCTATGATAGATAGGGCCTAGATGAATATATTTTATTGAAAGTGAAGAAATATAATTTGTAAAGTAATAATTATTATTTATAAAGCCAGGAAAATTTAACCTAGTAGTGGTCTATGTGTAAACAACTTAAGAAAATAATTAAAATTCAATCTGTAGGATGGCAGGATTTAATAATATTTTTGTTCTAGATCTTTTGTTAGTATCAATGGTATCAAAATAAAGAAAAAACTTATTTCATAAACTTGTGAAACAAAACATTTGAATCTATTATAGCACAATAAATCTTTCAAAATTATATTAAGTTAGAGACCAAAAAACAGGAGATAGGCCTACATAATCTTTGAGTCGACTATTTAAAGTCATTGTAAATTATTACACTGCTATTCGTTTCAAATAACGCATATGTAATACTTCACAATTGCTCGAATTCAAGCAACAGGTACACTAGTCTTAATTATTAATACGCTACATGTCACTTTGTAAACAACAAGGCGTTTTTGTTTTCAGAATTAACCCCATATATTTTATACAAAAATGTTTGTCTAAGTGTGTTGTAGATTTGCAAACTGACCTTACATTTTTGAAAAAGTCCCTTGGGCTCGCCCCAGTGGCTTTAAAGTTCCCATGTTATCCTTAGGAAGAACATATCTGTTTACATTATGATAAGCTGGATAATTTAATTGCTGTTAATATTTTAGTTGCAATTTAAAGGAATGTGCTACAAACATTTACTAACTTCATAACTTATATTGGAGATATTGGCAATTAATAATGAAATGTATTTAATTAAATTTAAATGTTCAACAAAGCCAATATATAATAATTTGTTTTAATCACTAGCGCTTTAAGAAAATAGGTTTCCATCGTCAGGCTGTGTTTAGAGCAGTACAAAAAGTAAATATTTAGGTACTTAATAATTAATTAATTTTAAACAAAGTAAAAACAGACGATGTAAACGATATCGGAAAAATATAGCCTATAAAAAATAATGTTAGAAAAAATCATCTTTTGAATTTTGGATAAATTACAGTGTTGTTCTTGATGTAATTATTTTCAGTAATTCCGAGTTTATAATTGGGCCGTCCGTCTTCATTATTTAACAAATAATTTTGGTCTGTTTTTTTCTATAAAATAAGATCCCCACACATTAAGATGTTGAGTTTTATAATTTGTTTTAAAAGTTTAAGGTTTTCCAAATTGAATATCTGTCCTGTATTAATACTGTGGCTAGCAAGGGCTGACTTTTCAGGTCTTCTGTATTGTGCATGAGCTTGGTGTTCTTTGAATCTGGTTTGGATTTTTTTTTTTTTGCTTAAATATATTTCATATTACAATCATTACAATTAACTTAATAAATTCCAGACATGTCAAATTTTGATGGTTTTTCTTTAGGATTGCCTAATTTTGATTTCAGCAGGTTAAGGCATAAGGTATGAAAATGCTTTTCATGTTACTTGCAAATTTTGAGTTGTAATTTATACTAATCCAATTCTTTACTATTTTCTTTTCTGAAATGTGGGTATTTCTCTGATTTTTCTGTCCTTTTAATTTTGCTTTTCATAACATGTTGTCTATTAACCCTTTCGATGCTAGAATATTTTTTGTAATTTTCCGAAAAGTGCTAGAGTCATTTACTTATTTTGTCCGAAAAGGGCTAGGCTTACCACGGAGGCGAAGTATAGTGTGAGAAAAAAAATCGGTAAAAATAAAATGTTTAATCTCAAAAGTGCTAAGGAATGATATATTGGGCCTCGATCGTATGAGGAATCGAAAGAAACCATTGCTGTTTCAAAACTACAACAGAGATGCTTATTTAAACTCACATGATCGAAAGTCGTGCGGGTACGATACGATATATCGTTGCTTAAAGCTTTTCGGATGAAACGCGAACAACGATATATCGTTCCATAGCACTTTTTGGGAAAAAGACGCACAACGATATATCGTTGCATAGCCTACCACTGAAAGGGTTAATTTTGTAGTGTATCCATTAAAAGTCGCTACAAATACATTACAGTCTACATTAACTACCAGCTAATTATAAAATGAAACTGTTCTAAACTAAACCTAACATTAACCAAACTGCAGTCCATGTTATGTGAGTAAATGTAGGACGTAAACTTAAGTGCAGCCTTTTAGTATAAATCCCGGGCATTTTAAGGTTTTGCCAAAAATGCCCCGCGGGCGTTTTTTATGAACCCAAAAAGAGGACGTGTCAGGGGAAATGAAGACGTCTGGGATCCCTCGGGCTGGATTTTTGGGAGGCTCAACAGTTTGTTTGGGGGCTTGTAATAAAAGGGAAGCTTGTAAGTTTTTACACCAACAACAGACAACAATAGACAGTTAGCTTGTTTGGTTCTGAAATTCTAGGGTGGTCTGAGCTCAATTAAGTTACAATAGGCTACTTATTCTACTAATTCTGGGGTACAGTTTCTTAACTGGGCTATGCTAATTAATATTGACTGAAACTATCGATTCGATTAGTAAACCTTCATGTGATTTTTTCACTATCAGCAAGTTTGGTTGGTTAGGTTAGGTTAGGTAATGATAGTTTAATTTTATAATAGATATATTTTTAAATATCGATTATAAATCATATTTTCAATTCGATAGTTTTAATCGATATTAGCGTAGCCCAGTTAAGAAACTGTACCCATTCTGTAAAAGACTAGCGAAATAGTTTACTAAACAGATGTGGGCTCATATGGACACAATTTTAAATTAAATATACTGACCTGAAAACTGACATAAAACGTCGCCCCAGGATTAACATACTGAAAATAGCAATCCTCTTTTCCAGGATCTATGTGGACTTTATAGTCCATTGCAACCGCCGGTAGATTTTCAAACCAATTAACAGCATTCTGTTGCCCAGTAGTATCAAAAACCATCAGAAACAAGATTACAATGAAATTGAGAAATGATAATCCACAATATAATCCCATAATCAAACCATATGCGAACTATCTTGGCAAACAACAATAATTTAATGGTTATGTTATGGAAGGAAAGGAGAAACAGAAAGAGAAGAGAAAGTCCTTCCCGCTGACTTGGCCGTCGTCGTCGTCGTCTGCAACTTGTTGACTTGTACGTCATGTAACATAAACATGTGTAACATGTAAGCATATTATTTTTGAGTATTGGGGCCACGGCCGCCTAGTGTGGCGGGTGGGTTCCATAATATCGACAACCGTAGAAATTGATCGAAACTGAATTATTCCCAGTTTGTCGACACTGGAATATTCCCACTTAACCGACATCCCAAATAACCGACGTCGCAAATGATCGACACCACAAATTGTCGACATCCCATATTGTCGACAATGAAATAGTTTCACTATGTCGACACTGAAATAGTCCCAGTATATCGACAAGCTCCCGTTCTTCGGAGCTACTCTTGAAAAGGAGTTGTTCTAATTCATCGTTCAGTTCCTCAACTTACGAGTCGCATCGCAATATTTAATTCCGAAATCCGAATTCCGACGGACAATGAAATGAATAATGATAAGCTGGCCATTTTGACTAAGCATTAAGTTATTACTTTTATATTGTAAATATTTATCTTTTTTATTTCTTTCCTTGCTTACAGGAAAATTGGTGACTCGTGTGTTACAAACAATAGTTTTTAAGGGAAACAATGTGAAATAATTTGTATAGGTAGGTTATGTAGGCTAATCAACATGATAACAGACACTTTAGGTAAGTCACCAACAAGAAGGTAAAGTAAGACACCAACAAGAACTTAAGATACAGCTTATTCGTAGGCTAATTCTGAATCATCAAGCAATATTGTAGCAAATGTTTGAATAGGCATATCCCATCCCTAGGCTATTAGGATTGTCTCTCATTCCCATTGACCCAGTGTCAACTTTAAGAATTTGTTATTTAAAAATATGCGGCTGCACTTTAGTTTATGTCCTTTATTCATTCAAATGAAAGATATTAAGGGTACAGTTTCTTAACTGGGCTATGCTAATATCGATTGCAACTATCGTTTCGATTTGTAAACCTTCATGCGATTTTTTCACCATCAGCAAGTTTGGTTGGTTAGGTTAGGTTATGATAGTTTTATTTTGCAATAGATGTATTTATAAATATCGATTACTAATCAATATTTTCAATTCGATAGTTTCAATCAATATTAGCATAGACCAGTTAAGAAACTGTACCCGATATGAATACATAAGTTAGACTATTTAATATTTTGAATATTTCATTCCGTTAGTTAGGTTAGGTTTCACCCTAACATTACCCAAAATTGATATAGGCCTAAGTTTATCGAATGAAATAATCAATATGACTGGGACGGGTGGCGTCGTCCTGTAATCCAGCTACTACCGTAGGAGGTCACGAATTGTGGATATTTATAGGCATGCACTGTGGATGTGATACTCCCTGGTGTGGATTAACGTCCGCTTGAGTGAGTACTACGACTATCCGCAGTACTATCCTGATAATTAGACCAATTCGTATAGGCTATAGACCAAGGCAATAATGTGGTTCGGATTCCACTATAAACTGTAGGTCCCTTAGTTGCCATTAGCTGTATGGGCTATTAATTAACAGCTGTGTCTAAGGAATGTCGGCCTTAGTCACTAACAAGACTACAAGATCGCGCCACTCATCCTGATCCTACACTCATTTCCATTCGTACTTGGCTTAAAATACCTACTTTGTATGGTCGCCAAGTAATAAGAAAGAAAGTATTAAAGAAATATATTCATTGGAATGAGTGTAGGACGTAAACTTAAGTGCTGCAAAATATTCTAGAGCTGTTTGTATTTGGTGTAAGACTAGACTTGGATTATATCATTCATTGCTGATGACATCAATGTTAATTTTATAGATGATCCTGGAGCAAAGGCTGTAATTTGACCTGAACCCAAATTGGTCTATATTTTAAATATTGTCTTGAACCAATAAGTTAAGAGGACTAACCTTTCTGGACGACATTGCCATCGACATCACAGCAGATGAGAGAGAAAGAGAGACCAGAGTTGTGGACCCTGGAGGCAATTACCATACTGCCGTGATAATGTTCCTTGGTCTAACCATAACTTAAGTGAGGTGAGTCAACATTCTTTCCCCTTTGTGATAGATTCTAGGCTATGTTTGTTAACTAAGTTATTCAAAGTTCAAATCGGTACTTTGGTAAGTGTTATCCGGAGGGCCTACTGTCGATATTTGGGTGGGTTCCATATTATCGACAACCATAGACACTGATCCAAACTGAATCATTTGCATTTTGTGTTGAACAGAGTTTGAACAACTAATTATTTATATGTTTTATGGTAACTGTAGGGAAAATATAATGTGTAACACAAGTGCAAACTGCCATTGCTGCACTCGACAAACTTTCCACACTCGCCTACGGCTCGTGCGTAAACATTTCTCTCATGTGTAGCAAAGTGCCACTTCGCCCACTAGTTACCTACACAAATAAACTATTATTAATAGTTTTTGGTGGAACATAAGGATAATTAATCTTAATGCAAATTTATAGTTTTTTTATAAACATTCAAAACTAGGCCCCTACTTAAAATGCATTTGGATTACATCTCGAAACATGTTGTTTGGAAATGTCTTAATTAGGCTAGAGCTTGCATTTTTGCAAATTGGGAAATAACAAAGAATTAATGTTGAACGCGTTCGCTACCGAGCGACGCTCATATGCGTCGGTCCGGTCACTCCTACAGACCAAAAGGAATGATCATGACGTTGCTTACAGACCAAGTGATATAGGAATAACATTGCCAACAGACCAAAAGAGAAATATCGTTTAAATGGACTAATTGACTTCATATTGACCTTAAGTGAATTAGTAAGCAATAAATATTGTTTTTATTTATCGTTTTGAGCAAATTTTAAAACGCCGCATATATGCGTCGGTCAGTCTATTTAATAAAATTCAGATAAAAAGATTACTTACATTTTCGTTTCAATAGACCAGGCGACGCACGTTTAAGCGTCGTTTTAAATTTGGTTGTTTCAAGCATTTACTCAAACAAATAAAGAAACTCCAAACACTCGCCAAAACTGCAAAGGTTATAACGTTTACATCTGTTCTGAGATGTCGCGGAATGCACAATGTAAACAACAATGTTGCCAACTGTTGTGTGACGTAACCAATCGTCATATCCACACACCAAGCGATGCACATTTGCGGCAGATATCCCTCTAGACTGATACGATAAAATCAGGGCTTTAAAATAGACCGTTGCTAAGAAATACGCTGATTAATAACATTGAACACCGACGCAAGTGTGTGTCGTTAGTCTATTTCAATATGATCAGCTGACGCAAATATGCGTCGGTGGTCTATTGTGAGAAATGAGTCGACGCACAATTGCGTCGCTAGTCTATGCAAACGTAAATTTTATATAATTGTGGTAGCGAACGTGTTAAACCAATTTATTTTGCCTAAACCATATTATTGTTACAAATTATAATAGTTGTACTAACTTGACCCAGATTTGCTCAAACATTTTCCTATTATCTGTACCTATTTGAATATTACAAATATAGAAAGGAGTGTACAGACTTGTATTATTTGTTGGACTCAAAGTATTTGTATAACACTATTTTTTGCAATATTTCTGTACAGAACTGAAGCCTACCAGTAAAATGGGGGCGTTGTAATTAATATCCTCCGACATTGGAGAATACAGGGGAGAGGTGTCAGAGGAAGAGGAGATGGAGGATGGGGCGAAGTAAAGACTAAGATTGAAGAGAACTAACTAATGGTAAGTTTTGCCATTTACTTAAATTTAAAACTTATAAATCCAGGGCCGTGTCCATTGCCCCCAAGCCTATTTTGCATAACCCTCCTGAATTACTAGTATTTAACCAGCATTTTAACTGGAGATGTGCCCAAAAATTTGCTTTTGTTTTTTAGGAAATGTAGGCTATATTTTACGACTACCCGCTGGTAGTCGTAAATTTCGATCACGCAATCTTTGCAGATGCTTTCGGCTATCATGAGAATACAAGACAAACTTGGATTATTGTACCCCCTAATTCTAACAGATTTCGGGAAAATTTTCCAAGAGAAAAAGCATTCTTTTGAGGCCCCAAGTGAGTCCCCTTCCCAGGCCGAAGCCCTTGGCAATCGCAGTGTCCACCGTTAGGGGAATACGGCCCTGATTTGGAGGCCTATGTTGGTGTGGGGTCTGGTGCAAACCTCCCCCCCCCCCTCAGTACGCCACTGAGTACATTAAATAATGATAGAAGTATGCATAAAAAGACTCTTGTTCTGTTCAGAATACTGTTTTTAATATTAATTTTTGTTCTGTTATATCCAGGCCTGATGACAGGATGGATCGCGATGGAGGCATGGAGGTTGGGGGAGAGGAGGCTGAAGAAGTGGAGACAAATCAGTTTAGATCCATTCTGTTGATTAGTTTAACATTTATTTTGAACATCAGTATTTAAATTTTTTTCTCATTTAGATTATTAAATTAAGATAATTTTATTGTTTTTATGAAGATGTTCTCTTACATTTTTAATATTTGTTTGTACTTCTGCCTGGTAAAAAAATACTGTTTTCCTACAGTTACCTAACAATGTACATGTTCTCTCACTGATTTGAGAAAGCAAAGTGGCCAATTCGCTCATCAGTGAGACAATGTTAACATTGTCTCACTCTAATTACTTTGTCTCACTCCAGATTTGCAATGTGAAGGCACAAAATAGTGAGCGCGTAACATGCAGACAAGGTCGTATGTGCGCGAAATACGTTGGCAGCACTGGCTGTAAATCAGCTGGTCAGTTGTTTTACTGTTGTATCATTAAATGTCATATTAAAAGTTCACTTCTGTGTAAAAATATGTTACGTTTCTTTACCAATTTATTTGTTTTATGGTAACTGTAGGAAAAATATAATGTGCAGCTCGAGTGCAAAGTGCAATTGCCTCACTCGAGAAACCATTCCTCACTCGCCTACGGCTCGTGAGTAAGTATTTCTCTCGAGTGAGTCAATTTATCACTTTGCTCACTAGTTGCACAAATAACTATTATTATCTTTGTTAAAATGATTACTTTCACTAACTGACCT